GGGGTGGAGGGAAAATTGGGTTAGAGGGGGTGGAGGGAAAATTGGTTTAGAGGGGGTGGAGGGAAAATTGGTTTAGAGGGGGTGGAGGGAAAATTTGCTATAGCACAAAAGGACAAAGAAACAAAATATAAAGAAAAATAAATCTAGTTTTACATATTTATCAAAGATATTTTTTTTATTTCCTTATTACAAAGGGATCGGGTTAACATGCAGATTGCAGAGTAGGGAACTTTAATATTGTACAATTGCTTGATCTCTTGATGTCCAAAGTGTGAATTCTAATTTTAGGATATTTAAAAACTATAGCTTTCCATATCTTCATTTTAACTACTCCTCTCCTGATCACAGCTCTCTTCGACTTCTGAATTGGAACGATTACTATGCGGGATATCGAATAAAGATTAAATTAATCTGCAGATTAACTAAAGATCTAGAAAAAGCAATGATCTCGATATCCACAATACAAGAGTTCCCAACTCTGATCTTAAAAAAAAAATAAAAAAAAGGTTCCATCATATCATATTAAACGATCTATATGCAACGTTTATAGTATGGAAAATATTAATATTTTCCACAAAAACTAAATTTTCTTTTCTGTGTGTTATCGAATTCAATAAAAAACATTATCATAACAAAGTCTATTTTCAATTCTAGAAACTATCTCTGTTAGGACGAGATTATTCGGTTCAGTCGTGTTGTTAAATTTCGGTAATAACATTTTTACTATTTTAGCTCAGTTATAACATGGGGACAACAGCTAGACAAACTTGTTAATAAGGTAAGCTCCACCCAATCTCTGTCCTTTGGCGGTTATTTTTGATTTTCAAGGAATGATAGTTGACTTTTTATTTATTTATTTACTGGCTGAAGTGCCAGGCGTTGCCCTTAAAATAAAAAATAAATAAAATATTTGGAAGATAAAAAACGATTTGGTAAAAAAAAACAAAGAATTTAAGCCAATTTGGTCCAGCCGTTTGGCCAGTTATAGCTAATAAAGTATGAGACTGTAAAGACGACCCAAAACTAAAAATATATGACGATTTAAAGTTTTACTTTTGGTTTCATCATTCAAATGAGTAATTTGATTGTTTTCTGAATGTTTCAGCACAGAAATAAGTCAGTTTTAGCCTACAAGGAACCCTGAATTCAAGAAAGCGGATTAAATAAATTCTGTACAATCGTCTCTGAGTCTCATCCTTTTTGGGTAACCCTGTCAATATATTAATACAAACTTCCAAATATATATGTATGAACAAAGAGCTATATTCTTCAGGGTGTCCCAATAAACATGAGAATTCAGTGACGAATTTGATATCGTCTTTTTAAATAAATTCTTGTGATTTAGTATAGTGATGCCTACTGAGAAAGCTGTAATCTGTAAGAGTTTCGTCTGCTATGTTCACATTTTTTTTGTTTAAGTTTTGACTGCATACGGTTGTACTTAGTAAAACAAAAAATTTCAGTATACAAACAGAGTAAACTTGTCCGTCTACACTGTTCATCTTGCGGAGACATTATAGACAAATCTTTACAGCCTTTTACCCTTTTCATAAGATAAACTCTAGCAGACATAAAATATTTTGGGTTTGAAATTAGGTATTACAATCCTAATTCATAACAAAGACGATATTCAATTCGTCACTGAATTCCTATGTTTCTTGGGAAACCCTGTATAGATAAAGACAGTTTGACTTATCAATAACTCTTAGAAATTAAAACATAATTGTGTACATTTCATTTTTTTTGAAAAACGATCGTTTCGTTATGAAAACGATGACGAAAAATCAAAAACGAAACGATTGTTTTTAAAAACGATTGATTTTATAAAACTTGTCGTTTCGATCAAGAACGACAACCCTTCGTTAACGATCGTTAACAAAGAGAGGAAACCGACCTGAAAGGCATCTGTACTTATCATTGAATAGTTTTTAAGAAAATATAAAGAAGTTTTAGCTCCCCCACAACTGTTTAACTTCATGTAAGACGATATTCAATAAAGTTGCATGTAATTTTTTTTCAAAAACGATTGTTTTTCTAAAAAACTACCGTTTTTATTAAATTCGTCGTTTCATTAACGATCGTTAACAACAACCCTTTGTTAACAATCGTTAACGACTTCCCTTCGTTAACGATCGTTAACATAATTAGCAATAACATTTTTTTTCAAAAACGATTGGTTTTTTCAAAAGCGATCGGTTTTTCAACAACAATCGTGTAAAAAACGGTTTTTCCGAAAACGAAACGATTGTTTTTGAAAACGATTGAAAAACGAAACAAAACGATCGTTTAACGATCGTTTTCAAAAACGATTAACAACCCTAAAGTGCACAGCACAGCTGACTGCGCTTTGTCGAACTATTGGCCGGACATTTTACTATCCATCCAACTAAAAGGGGCCCCGAATTGTACATTTTGTATTCAAAAATTCCCAAAATCAAACTCGTCTGTTTTTGAATTCAATACAAATAGTCATTCGTATCTTCACAGTGAAATTGTATCTAGGGGAATGACATGTGTCAATTTAAATTACAACAATTGTTTTTATCTTATTTTAAACTAAACTCTAAAGAATTTTGATATTTAAAAACGTAAAAATTGACTTCCATAATTACATAAGGTTTAAATCATATTTTTGTGTTCGAAATGTTGAAAAAACCGTTAAAATTAAGAGGAGTATCTATCTATGTATTTGGATCTAATCTAATCTAAAACAGTTTTCACAGAATCTCTTATAAATTTCGTACATACTTTTCCACGAATAGTCAAAAATAATTTTATTTTCGTCAACTAAATCACATACAGGGTGTCCCACGAAACATGACAATAGCAAGACGACTTGAAAGTCGTCTTTGATATTTGAATTTATTTGTGACATTTAGTCTTCTATCTACTTTAACTTGTATGATTCCTGAAACAATTATCACATAATTCTCCTAGCCCTGGCATTTCCAAAAAGTGGTCTGCGTTTTTTGTGCTTTCAATATTACCGGAGATATAAAGAGTTTGGTTCAGATTTCAATTTTGTTAAATAAAAGCAAAATTGTCGAAATCTGAACCAAATTGTTCATATCTCGGGCATAATTGAAAGCACAAAAAAGGCAGACCACATTTTGAAAAATGGCAGGACTAGGGGAATTTTGTGATTATTATCTCTAGAAATTTACTTCTAAATTAGGTTGACAAATAAATGCAGCAAATTATATCAAAAATCAAGACGATATTCAAGTCGTCTTGCATACTGTCATGTTTCGTGGGACACCCTGTATGTCAATGGGAAAACTTAAGATACTTCTTGTTATAAACAGAATGGTATTATAATGGGACTGTGCTTTCTATGCAGGGGGGCTGGATCTTAGCTACCTGTCCGTGTGTATTGTACATAGTACAAACATCAAAAATGCAGTACGCTTTTGGAATACAAGTGTATGGGGAGGTTTTGTATCTTGAATTTACTCAGTTTTCTCAGAACAGTTTATTAACGATGAAATATTACTCTGTAAAAGACTGTAAATGTACATCTTCCTGTGAAAATGGAATCCTGCACTCGATAAAGGAGTAGTGGGTTTTATTAGTTTCATGGAAAACAATTATTCTCCAATTAAATATTTTCGGAAGATCACCCCCGAGTACTGCATATACAGATTGACCATTGGAAGTGAAGTACATGGCCTGTACAATAAGTAAAGGATTATGCGTACATCATCATCATAAACTATAACTATCGTCGTTTTCTCTGTAAAAGACTGTAAATGTACATCTTCCTGTGAAAATGGAATCCTGCACTCGATAAAGGAGTAGTCCGGGTTTTATTAGTTTCATGGAAAACAATTTCTCCATTTAAATATTTCCAGAAATCGCCCCCGAGTACTTAATATAAAGATTGACCTTTGGAATTGAAATACATGGCCTGTACAATTAGTAAAGAATTAGCGTACATCATCAGTCTATAAACCTTAAATTGTTAAACATGTTTCGAAAAAAATTAACCCTATCCTGGTTGGGCTATTTTTGTCTAATATAAGTTGTTTTGCCCTTAGAGTTGAGATAGGGGAGTGTGATACATGTCCTTAGTTCAACTTGTCAAGGCCTGCTCACTAATAAAACTCCTTTATACATTTCACTTTAATAAGGATTTACAAAAAGTTTTAAAATACGTCGGAAAAATATTCAATATCAATTATTACATCCACGTGTTAAGGGATTTTAGCCCTCTGTAGCGTTGTTGATAAAAAAGTTATTAAGCATTTCTTGTCAGCTGAATCTTATTTTCGCGGTCTGTCAAAAGCAAGTTTGTATAATGTAAATGTAAAATATTATACATCCTTGGTAAAAAAAGATATTCAAGCACCAAGCCTAGTCCACCGAATGGCAATCGATACATTTAGTTTTTTATTAACAGTTTAAAAGTTCTAACATAATTATTTAAAGATAAATATTTATTGATTTTCTGTTTTTAGGCGATGAATGAATGCTTGGACATAGAAGTTCCCTGTTCCAATATCAATCACACAAATCAATTTGGTTCTGGAAATCAATTTCAGTCCGGAAATCGATTTGAATCTAACGGATTCCAAACTGTAACTGCTGATAAGCTGGAGAAAGACTCAAATCAATTTCAATTTAAATCGGGTCAGATCAAACCCGGCTTTAACCAGTTAGGTTCAACTGGATCAGATTTTAAAACCGGTTTTGAGCTTGACTCTCAGTACACCCACGCAGGGTTACCAATGGAGCAAGATTTAAAGACTGGAAACGGATTCACGAACAGTTTCAAAAAGTGACAAATAAAATACTTAAAAACATCAACGTGTTTTGATCAAAGTGACTGAACATTCGCCTTTAACTCTAATTTTCTAATCATTTTATCAGTGGTACTTGTATCATCATATATTCAAAACTAAGAATTTTGGCGGATTAGATAGAATAAGAGTAATTCAAGTGTTCAGTTCTTTAAAAAGTTTTATATATTGTTGATGAATAAAAAACCATTTTTAACATGTGAACAGAATGATAAAAGAAAAGTTTTTCATACAACTGTAAAAGTACAATATATTGAGAAAATTCCAGAATTTTATTTCTAATACGAAACATTACACTTACGAGATTTAAAATAATTTTTCGTGGGACAATGTAAACTAATATACTAAAATCTTATATCAGGTTTAAACAGTTCATTCATTTTTATAAATAATTTAAACTTGAAAATCAGTTTCATGATTGCAAGTTTTTCTATGAATTATTTCGTCCAACTTCTGTAAAAATATTTTACCAAATCACATGAAATTGTTCATTGCTGAAAAAATGTCACCTATCGACTATATACTAAAATAGATTTAAAAATGAATTTTAACAAATTTCAATTTCTTTTATTTCCTCTGAAATAGTGTTATTTTGTTAATATCAAAACTAACATTTTTATTTTAAAATAAAAATTCATCTTCTTTGTTTAACAAGATTTAAAGAAAACATGAAATAAAGGAACTGAGTTTTTGCCACGAAATGTTCCAATTCCTATCTTTGCAACTTGATGGTGTAAAACTTTGATATTTTGAACTTAGACTCTTTGAATTCATTGTAATTCCAATTCAAGTGTAACTGTAAGGTCCAACTGACTGGGGGGACAGGTAGACAACATATCCCCATTTCCTTCCTTTAATGCTTTGCATTTATCATACATTTTGAGCAAACGGAAGCTAGACAATTGAATCTCCATCTTCTCATAATTTCACAAATATTTTTGAATTTATATTTTCGTCGAACAAAAACAATTAGGTGTAAATCACAATTTTCTTAAAAAAGTTAATTACGGATACTTCAAGTAAAAAATACCTGGATTTACATGAATGGTCACAAAAGACACAAATCTAATCAAAAATGTTTTTTAAAATATACGACTTATAAATATAATTCTTGAAGATGGAAAGTGTACACATAGTGTACAGCAGACTTAGGACTGTACTGTACTGTACTGTACTGTACTGTACTGTACTGTACTGTTGTGATGAACTGGATTCAACTCCTACTTCCTGGAAAAATCGTTATTTAAAGGGATTGCTCACAATTTTAAAATACATCTGATCTATTAGTTTCTAAAATTAGAAACACACAAAAGTTTTTACGTGCAAATCAAATCAAGCTGTTAAGGAGGTTCAAATAATATTATCCACCCTTCGAAATCGAAGTGACTTATGGATCCTGCATATAAATAAATAAATAAAACAGTCACCCATCAGTCCGAAGCACTCGGTAGTTATAAAAGTCCCATATTTTATAAAAGTATCATATTTTATTAAAGATCCCTCTGTGGCCTGTTATTTACTAAATCAAGAATAAAAGTCCTATAGCTTGTTTATGATGTAAACTATTGGTTCTGAATGTTCAGTTTTCACCAATTTTCTTTGTCAATCTAGTAAAATAAAAAAAAAATCAAGTTATCGTGAATTTGCCAAAAAATGACTCAGCAATCGGATATGATTGGCTTTATGTTCCTCATTCCAGAATTGTTGTGATGTCACTTATTTTCAAAAGTTGAACAATTACTTTAAAAGAATCATTGCTAGGTTTACACACAAGTTTTAGATTCAACTGATAAAATTACTCAATTTAGGAATTCCCAATGTTAAACATTAAAAAGGTTTACGCAAACTTAACAAAATGAAATTTTTATTTTGTTCCTTTCAAAATTTAATTATTATTTTGTTACCTGTATTTGAGGTTCAGAGCCTTGGCCAAGAAACAGAAGATATCAGTATATTCTTCAATTGACTAAACATAACATATAAATATTCTTCAATAGACTAAACAGAACATATTTATTCTTCAATAGACTAAACAGAAGATATATATTCTTCAATAGACTAAACATAACATATAATTATTCTTCAATAGAGTAAACAGAAGATAAATATTCTTCAATAGAGTAAACAGAGGATAAATATTCTTCAATAGAGTAAACAGAAGATAAATATTCTTCAATAGAGTAAACAGAGGATAAATATTCTTCAATAGAGTAAACAGAAGATATATATTCTTCAATAGACTAAACAGAAGATATATATTCTTCAATAGACTAAACAGAAGATAAATACTCTTCAACAGAGTAAACAGAAGATATGCACTCTTCAATAGACTAAACAGAAGATATTTATTCTTCAATAGACTAAACAGAAGATATATATTCTTCAATAGAATAAACAGAAGATATTTATTCTTTAGTAGACTAAAAATAAGATATTTATTCTTTAAAAGACTAAACAGAAGATATTTATTCTTCAATAGACTAAACAGAACATATATATTCTTCATTAGACTAAACATAACATATTTATATGTTTCAAAAGACTAAACAGAAGATATATATTCTTTATTATACTAAACAGCAAATAAATACTCTTCAATAGACTAAACAGAAGATTTATATTCTTCATTAGACTAAACAGAACATATTTATATATTTCAATAGACTAAACAGAAGATATATATATTCTTCATTAGACTAAACAGAACATATTTATATATTTCAATAGACTTAACAGAAGATATATATTCTTTATTATACAAAACAGCAAATAAATACTTTTCAATCGATTAAACAGAAGATATCAGTGTACTAGACACTAGGCACTAGACAGTAGACAGTAGACGTCAAAATACTAACAAAACCATCAAAAAATGATTATGCTTTCAAAAATTCAAAACACAAATCCTGAAGACAGTGGTTGTGAAAATTTAAAAGGGGTTTAGGCTAATCCGGAATTGAATTTGAAATCGAATGGTTTCAATCTTTTTTATCTAATGTTTGAGAATTGAAAAATTGAAATTTTTTCCCGGCTTGCGATATGAAGGATTTTAGAACCAGTTAGATTTTATGAGTTATGGCTAGATATCACTTAAAAAGAGAAGGAAGAAAGGTTTGTTGTGAGGGGGGAGGGGTTCTGACCCGTTTTGAATATTGCGTTTGGTAACTTTAGTAGTTCTGTGAGTGCTGCTGTATTACAAAACATTCATTGGAATTCTTTTAATATATTTCCAAGGTGAGGGGTGGGGAAACTTATTAAAATTATGTAACTAATTATAATTTGATCATTTTCCTTTTAAAAGGGGAAAATATGATGAATTTTAGGGTTCTAGTTTAATGTATCCATTTCTAAATGTTTAATCTTTAAACTGGACTAAAAACTAAGCAAGGAAAATTCTAAAATGGACTATCATTGGCATTCCAATTTACAGAGAAACCACAAATAAGAAAATACATGAATATATTAAATATGATAATGTTTGTTTAGATTTCTATGTAAAAGTGCATCAGATAAAGGTGAGAAAGGTTACCTTAGCAGTAGGTTTACCGGCCCCGTGACCTGCGTCAGTATCAACCCTGATGATCAACGGATTCTCCTAGGACAAGAAAAACATAATAAACGAGGATGAAATAAATAAAGGTAGATTAATGATCCGTTGAACCTCTGTGGCTAGAAAAGGCTATAAAGCTGAGCGCAGCGGCTAAGAAAGGCTAAAGAGCCCAGCGCTGCGTCTATGACGATTAAGAAATAAAATGCCAAAGCTGGGAGAGTCTAAGACAGCGGCCAGGACAGGCTAGTGTTCCGGGTTCCGCAACTAAGAAAGCCTACGGTGGCCGAGTTCCACAACTAAACTGGATAACTCAGTGGACCGAGCACTGCAACTAAGAAAGCCTAGGGTGGCCGAGCACCACAAATGGATCGCCTAGGGGGCCAAGCACCGCAACTAAGAAAGTCTAAGTTGGCCGAGTATCGCAACTAAATCCTAGGGGCCAAGCACCACAACTAAGAAAGTTTAGGGGGCCAAGTACCGCAACTAGAACACCCAGGGGGCCAAGTACCGCAACTAGAACGNCTAGAACACCCAGTGGGCCGAGCACCGCAACTAAATCCTAGGGGCCAAGCACAGCAACTAAGAAAGTCTAGGGGGGTCAAGCACCGCAAATAGAACACCCAGTGGGCCGAGCACTGCAACTAAATCCTAAGGGTCAAGCACCGCAACCCAGGGGGCCGAGCACCGCAACTAAGAAAGTCTAGGAGATCAAGCACCGCAACTATAACACCCAGTGGGCCGAGCACCGCAACTAAATCCTAAGGGTCAAGCACCGCAACTAAGAAAGTCTATAGGCCAAGCTTCGCGACTGAACAATTGGCCGAGCATTGGGGTCATATTTGGTTTACCTGGTTCTCATTGTTCCCCATCTTCTCCTGCAGTGTGGCAATATACTTGAGACTATGTGAAGGAACTACACGGTCATCATGGTCAGCGGTGAGAAGGAGGACAGCAGGGTATCCTCCAGTAGTAGGGGGCCTAAACATAATAATAATAATATACTCTAAAAAAATAAAAGGACTGTACCTGATATTATCTATATAATAAAGCTTTTCGCTAATATATTTATATTTATATGTTAGCTATAGCTGGCCAAACATCTCGACCAAATGGGCTGATTTTTTTTAGGGAACCCATGGGTACCCTGGGGTAATATATGTATTATATAGCTGGCCAAACATCTCGACCAAATGGGCTGATTTTTTAGGGAACCCATGGGTACCCTGTATATGATTATGTAGGCTAAAATAATGTGTTTTTTCCACTTCAAAATTAGAATTTTTACCAACGTATTTTTTAAATTCCACGGGCAACGCCGGTCACGTCAGCCAGTAAAAAGTAAAGGGACTGTTATTGATATTATAAAAAAAGACTGTACCTGATATTATGAAGAGGGGATATGTTGAGTAGATTCTGAAACTGTTCCTTGACATCACTGCAACCATAGTTACTGGTCCAGGCGTAGCCAATGGTAAATTTATGGAACCGCAATAAATCCATTACACTAAAAATAAAAAAATTTTAATATTTTTTTTGATTGGTCCTTTTAAAATGTCACTGTTCTTATTTTAAATGTGAATAAAGTATATTGATTATTGACGTGAATCAAAAAAAAATTTAAAGTTTAATTTTCATCATGATGTGCTTAATTCCACCAATTTGAAAAACCTTTTTCAACGTTTTTGGAAATTAAATCAAAGTTTATTGATATTTAATTGAATTTCTATAAGATACCATCTCTCTATAATAAAGCTCTTTGCTCATACACATAAATATTAGCTGAAGTACCCAGCGTTGCCCGTGGATTTAAAAAAGCTGAATTTTGGAGAAAAAAAAATTTGATTTTGCAAAAAAAATCGAAATTTTGAAGAAAAGATAAATATTTCTACGACTATGTTATCCCCGGGGTACTCAAGGGTTCCCTCAAAAAACGTCAGCCCATTCGGTCCAGCCGTTTTGCCATCTATAGGTGACATACAAACAAATATATATGAGCGAAGAGCTTTATTATATAGATATACATATATTCATATGTTAGCTAAAATTGGCCAATCGGCTGAACCAACCGGGCTCACATTTTAAGGAAGCCCATGGATACCTTTGGGGAAACATAGGCTAAAAAATCGATTTTTTTAATTCTACGGGCAACGGTAGGCACTTCTAAAATGATTTAATAATTTTGACAAATCTGGACAATTCTAGATCTATTTAACCCAATTCATCTTCAGATAACAAGGGAAGTAGAGGTTGAGCTGAAAACTATAGAATTGTGGATATCGAGATCAATGCTTGGATCTCTTCTTTTTGTTAATTTCAAGATTAATTTGATCTTAAGTTTGTATCAACAAAAGTGTATTTTACTCAACGAATCGTGAAATCGGAATATTTAAAATTTTGCCGATTAATAAGTGAACTCTAATTGGTCAGAGACTGGGGAGAAAAAAGAAAATTAAAGAGCGGATAAAGTGTCCACATCGGATATTCAAATCAAGCAATCAAGATTAAATGTATCCAATTCTTAAGTTTTCAGCTTTGAAGTGAGGACTTTTGTGTCATGAGTTTCGGGCTTAAGCTCAGCTTTAATCTCCATCGGATTCTTCTTACTTAAGATTCTTCACACAAAAGTTCTGACCTCTGTATTTATAAAGTAGTAAGTCTGTTCGATCATGACTCAATAATGTGGATTCTGGAACTCGGTAGAATATTCTTTATTTTGATTTAAGTTCTAAGTTTAGTGGTTGGACTTGTAAAGAGAGAGTTAAGTGTCCAGACAAAGCTGGTTTTCCAAGGTATATCAGCAATGTCTTTGTGGTTTGAAATGCAATATCGTTTTTTCCAAGTGAACAATTTTTTCTGACAATGAAAAACCTATTGCTCCGGTCTTCTGTCAGATAGTGGAAAATAGCAAACTGTTAGAGAACATTTTCTAGATTTAAATTTAGCATTAAGCATTAATTTTTGTTATCCTTCATTAGAGTGGCATTTCTGATTCCCAAAGATAACCTTTAAATTTTCAGTTTTTTCTCTGTATCATAAATCCGAAATCCACTTTAATGTAGCTACAGGATACTTGATAAAGGACCTGGATACTGGATAAAGGATACCAAAAACCAGACACAGGATACAGGATACGGAATACAGGATACAGGATACTGGATACAGGACACAGGATACAGAATACAGGATACAGAATACAGGACACAGGACACAGGATACAGAATACGGGATACAGGATACAGAATACAGGATAAGGATACAGGATACAGGATACAGTATACAGGATTTTGGATGAATTTTCTCCTACAGGATACAGGATACGGTGTTTGAAGAACAGTATCATTTGTCTAGCTGCACATTAAATTAACTATCATGTTTTTAACAATAGGCTTTACGCCCACAAAGGATGAGACGTAAGAATTTTTTAAGTCTTTGCTTATTAATTAAATGTTACATGCATTGGTAAACTTTTTTGTTATCCTTCATTTAAAGAGTGGCATTTCCAATTCCCAAAGATAACCTTTAAATTTTTAGTTTTTTCTCTGTATCATAAATCCGAAATCCACTTTAAAAACGAAATTACAGCTACAGCTACAGCTACAGCTACAGCTACAGCTACAGGATACTTGATAAAGGACCTAGATACTGGAAACAGGATACCAAAAACCAGACACAGGATACAGGATACAGAATACAGGATACAGGATACTGGATACAGGATACAGGATACAGAATACAGGACAACAATACAGGATACAAGATTCAGGATACAGGATACAGTATTTGAAGAACAGTATCATTTGTCTAGCTGCACATTAAATTAACTATCATGTTTTTAACAATAGGCTTTACGCCCACAAAGGATGAGACGTAAGAATTTTTTAAGTCTTTGCTTATTAATTAAATGTTACATGCATTTGTAAACTTTTTTGTTATCCTTCATTTAAAGAGTGGCATTTCCAATTCCCAAAGATAACCTTTAAATTTTCAGTTTTTTCTCTGTATCATAAATCCGAAATCCACTTTAAAAACGCAATTACAATTACTCATTTTGTCCCATTCACCATGGATTAGAGACAAAGGTGTAAGGGTAACTTTGTGAATTGAACACACCACTTTTAAAATGAAGGCTCAGTTTGGATATTCAAAAAAGAAGTGAACAAAAATTGCTCTCTATTTTTTACCTGTCCCGATGTGTAAAGGTCATTTAAAATGTACTCAAAAATTTGTTTACAATGTAAAAATGGATTTTTATCTTGTGACGGTTTATTTTTACTCGCCAGAGTTATAATGAAAACGCTTCATCCTCTAGAATTTAGATTGTCAATTATGATTTGTAAACTGCTAGTTTTAGATCTCGTATCTGTTCCCATGTTTATTCTCAGATTTTCGATAGAAGGTCAATTGTTACGGGTGGATTTATGTATTTTATGAAATTAATATGTACATGGCAGTATTATTATGTAATTAGAGGGAATGTTAGTGATTTTAGAGTAAGATTTTATATTGAAATCGGATCATTCAAAATTTGTTAAGCAATTTATGAGGACATTTAGATTATCTTATGCAAGCGGCAACTTCATGTTCTTATATTCAATTTTGAGGAACAAAATGCAGACATTTTTTAACCCCTTTGTTAATTAAAATAATGGTTGAGTACAACTTTTGTTCTTAGCTAAAAAATTAAGGGTTTTGTTCAATGAATGAGTTTCTGTCATTCTTTATCATTTCAATTTCTGTTATTTTTCATGTACAGCTACTTTCCTCCCTAAACAATCTCATAATTAACAGTTTTTTTTTCCGTTTTTGATTAAAATTCATCGCTAATTTTAATAACTTGCTATTTGTTAACAGGCCATTGACCAGAATAAACGAATAAAAATATCCTTCTAGTAATTTTATTTTTAATTTAGAATGACCAAAATACTAATCCAGCTACTGCTGTTGGGGTAAGTAGTAACTTAAAAAAAATTAAAGCAATTCTGTAATTTCAAATGTAGATTATAATACCTTGATTAGTGGGTATACATGTATTTTAAAGAATTCACCTTCCCAAGGGGCGGAGTAAATGATTTTCAAGAAAAATGAATGATTTTGCAGCATGATAGTTTAAAAAATATATAAATCCAGACTAGATGTCAATATAATTTAAGGACTTCAGTATCTGGTCAAACATTGTCACCCGTTTTAGGAAGCGTAGACTCATGTTGCAATCAGGTGAATATTTCAAATTCGAATTTTTTTAAAACATAAAATTATTTATACAGATTTAAATCAAGACATAGGCCTTGGATCAGATTTAGCTGTGCCTAACAATTTAGAGTCGTAGTTTGCTAAGAATTTAAATTTTAAAGGGAGTTGACTGGGGAAACAAAGTAGAGGAAGAATGTGACAGTTTTCCTGTTCCTGTCAAAGATATTATCCCAGAAATGCAACAGCTTTGTATCGCAACAATGGAGGTATAAATATTATAAATTTGATCAATCATCAATCAGATTTGAATCAGTCTAAAATTTACAATCCAGACTTCTTTTTCCTACAGATGGACTAATTAGACTTTTCTTTCCATTTTGCTTATTTATCTTTTGTGAGAGACCCATTTGTTCATTTTTTTCATTGTTTTAAAAAATTGATTTAGATCATTCTCAAAATTTAAGTTTTTTTCGATTTATGTTTGATTTTTTTTCTCAGTGAACAATTGTTCCGTTTTGTTTGTTTGTATAAAAAAATGTTAGTTTAGTAAAAAACCTACTTTTTTCTAAAAATTTGTTTCTAAAAATTTGTTTCAAAAAACGTTTGTTTCAAAAAACGTTTGTTTAGTAAGAAACGATTTTTTTTCTTAAGTTTATAGAAAAAAAATTGTTTGTTCAGCAAAAAACCTTTAATTTTCCAATTTTTTTTGAAAACCTTTTGTTCAGTAAAAAATTATTGTTTTTATCAAAATTTTCATAAAAATTATTTTGTTGAGTAAAAAATTATCCTTTTTTATTTCTCTTGAATGATCCAAATAATTTACTCATTGTTAGTTTTATTTCTCTGAATGAGGCCATTGTTCAAAACAAATTTCATTTGTTCTCAAAAATTCAATCACAAAAGCGATGCATATCTCTACTTTTTCCACAATAATAAATCCAGTAAACATTAATTGAATCTATAGACCTTGAGTCATAACTCATAATGGAAAAACAGTAACAATTCAAGAATTTTCTTAGGATATTCCCATGGTGTGGGTTTAGTTAACCTAAGTTTTATTTCAGGTTTGCTGCACAAAAAGGAGGCGGGAACAACAATGTTTACTTGGAAAAACAGCAGCGTTGAATGGAATGGAATGTGATATTACTGCATTGGAATCCAAGATAGGGAAAGAAACCTACAAAGACTGCTGCATGGCATGCACTCTTGGCATTACTGTTGCATCAATGTCCCAGAGGTGTTCAGGAATAGCTGGGTCTTTTGGAGAACCCTGGGAGGTAGGACATCCAAACCTTACAACAAATTGGCAAATAAATGCTGACTATTGACATTTTTCTCATTATTAATGATTTCTTAAGTATATGCATAGAAGACTTTTTCCCTTGAGTTCAAAACAAATAAAGATAGCAGTGTAAATGGCATTCTACTGCATCTGTTTCCATCTTGTGTTGAATTCTCTCAGGTTTTTAGTTAACAAATTTCAAAGTTATTCCGGACAGAGTTTGTTTCAAGCTCTTTCAGAAGTTTTTGTTTAAGTTTGGCAGAATTAGTTTCTTTTTTTTTTGCTTTTCCATAGTCATGATCAGAAAGACCCAGAATTAATTTATCAAACGAATTTACAATCTAATTTTACAAATATATTAAATGAATAGCCCAAGTCTTGCGTCTAACAAGGATAAGAAAGAGAAAAAAAACTGCACTGGCAAAGAAGATACAGATTGAGAAGAAAACTCCACAGGCAACAAAATACTGATTGAGAAGAAGCTTCACCGGCAAAGAAGATACACATTGAGAAGAAGGATTCCATCCTCATAGAACAGTCACCCTTGCCTCAGAGTGTGGAGAGTGAAAAAGAAGAATTGAAAAGTAGCAGTGACTACTCTTGTTGAATGAATTGTGGATAACCCAAAAACTGAATGTAGGAATCATAGTGTAATCTCATAGATACACTGGCAGCAAAGGTAGGAATCTTTATTCTTTGGTTATATATTTATTCTTCAGTTATTTGTACACTAAAAAATACAATAGTTTAGAAATAGAAAATATAGAATACATTTAAGGACAAGACATATACTAGAAATGAGTTTTATAAATCTACATTCCATAAATGATCAGGTGAGTCTTTAGCTCCTCCATCCAGGGTTCACATACAACTGATATAACTATAATCAGATGTTTTAATGGTAACCTGGACGTAGAAGTAATCTCATAGTTTGTTAACAAAGGCCAGTTATTTTAATGCAGTTTACAAAGAACGTATAGGGTTGGTGCAACTTTCTATATGCAGAATAAATACTATCTATTATCATGCTAAAGTGAATCTCACTCAACACTCCCAACCTTGGAAACAAAGGATATCATGAAAACATGTACCACAATATTACAACTAAACTACAGATTTCAACTTCTACAACCTGCAGCCAGTTTCTTATGATCTACAACCTACAGCCAGTTCATGAGGTACTACTTCTTACAGCCAGTTTCTGAGGATCTCCAACTTACAGCCAGTTTCTGGGGATCTATAACAGTTTCTGAGGATCTCCAATTTACAGCCAGTTTCTGGGGATCTACAACAGTTTCTGAGGATCTCCAACTTGCAGCCAGTTTCTGGGGATCACAATACAAGACAAGAATACAAGAATACATAAGTAAGAGACAATTTTTATTTGGCTGAAATTTCTGAAATTTTTTACCAGAATACAAAAAAATATATAAGAGACAATTTTCAAACTGGTTGCAATTTCTGGCATACCTTACACATAGAATTTTTGACTCTTGTAACAAGAATACATAAATAAGAGACAATTTTTGATCTGTATGCAAAGTGTGGCAACCCTTTCGCATCAAAATTTTTAAGCTTGTAACCAGCTTAATTTGAGCTGAAAACATCAATTGGTTTAATTGTAATCTAAATGGTAGGCGGCTTATTCATTCGCACTTCCATATTCAATAGGTAGGCAACTTATTCATTCATGCCTCAGATAAACAGAAATCAGAAGTACACTTGTACTTTAAAAAACTGAGTGTCAGAATCCTTTTGCGTCAGCCATTGTCCTCATTCACGCCAGTAGTCATTATCATAAAACAGAAATCAGAATTACACTTGTACTCTAGAAAACTAAGTTTCAGAATCCTTTCGGAGTCAGCCATTGCCCTAATCCATGCTGGTAGTTTAGGGCTGGGCACGTTCCGACTTTTAAAAAAATTGTTCCATTCCGTTCTAGAACAAGGGCCTTCAGCTAAATCATTCCGTTCTCGTTCCTCTTTTTTATCATTCCTTTCCGTCCTGTTCAGTTCCGTTCTGATTAGAAGAATGGTCTTCCTGTTCCGTTCTTGGCGTTCTTAGATGAAGAACGGTTGCATCCCTCTTGTTCTGTTCTTAATCAAGAACGTTTCCATCCCCCTTTCTGTTCTTAGTAACAAACAATTCCATCCAAGGCAAAAGTTTTATAGAAAAGAGTTGGTTAAAAAGTAAAAAATTACGATTTTTTAATATAAAGTTCAGTAAAGCTCACAGCCGAAAATAATACTTTAAATTATAAATTTTAAATTTAGGGTTTAAAGAATAAGCTTAGATAATAAAGTTGAGGGAGGGGAGGGGGTCAGGTAATTAAATCAAAAAATCTTTAACTATTTCTAGAGGATTTAGAATACATTCCTGATTTAAAATGCATTCCCAACTTAGAATGAGTTCTGGATAATAAGAACGAGTTAACAATTTTAACTGTTCTTTTCAAGAAATTCCTGTTCCGTTCCGTTCTTTTACTAACCGTTCCGATATTTTTAAAACGCGTTCTTAGCGTTCATTTTTTTTCGGAACGATGGCATCGTTCCTGATTGTTCCGTTCGTTCTTGGGAAAGAACAATCGTTCCACCAGGAACGCGCCAAGCCCTACGGTAGTCATTATCATAAAACAGAAATTAGAAGTACACTTGTACTTTAAAAACTGAGTGTTGGAATCCTTATATCCAGGCCTTTTGTCATTATCATAAAACAGAAACAGAAACTTGTACTTTAGAAAACTTAGTGGCAGGGTCAGTATGGAATCTGCATACTTGCCTCATTACAGGATCATTTTGGAATAAGCAAACTTGCCACTTCTTTACAAGGAACTATCCATGTAAGTGTTATCTTTATTTTGGGGGTCTCTGAAGTACAACCAAGCTTCATGGAACGGGGGGCACTTCTTGGACCAGGGGGCCTATCTNGATTTGATTTTAGCAAAATAAGTTAAATCTAGTTCTGACAAACCATTAAAGCTACATAAAACTGCTATAGCACTCTTATCAAAGTCTTAATCTTGCTTTTTAACTCCATTTTCTAAAGCTGTGTTTGTCATTAAAGCAACACAAACTGTAAACCATGAGAACTTGAGCAATGTGTACAAATGTGTAAAAAAGCTTACAAGTTAGTGACAAATAACCTTTAAATTCAGGGATAAAAAGTCACTATTTTTGCGATTTTTAAAATGCAAAAGAAGTGATGGTCAGAGGAGAATTGTTAAATTTGCAACTTTTTTGTTTTCAAGATTTACAGTGTAAAATTTTTGTTAAAATGAGGGGGCACTGCAGACTTCAGCTACAGCATCATAGAGGTAGTATACACTCAGACAATTCAACTTTCTATCCATAATCCTTTTAGTGGTAAAACCACAAAACATCCTGCCAATTCTAAAATTTGGTCTGCCATTATTGGGCATTTAAAATTACCAGATATATACATATGGTAAAATTGTCTGATTAACTGTAAATTTATTCTGGGTGTTTCTGGTTATGACTATAGTTGGTAGCTGTCTCAATGCATAGATTTGCAAGGACAAATAAGACTCAAAATTTTTCGTGCAGTAAATAAAAATATATTGTTTCAGACGCCTTTTACTACATGCTGTCAGGAATACCTTGATCCTACTTTCCCCACTGTTACAACAACATCAACCATGTCAAATATTACAACTAGTACTGAAGCTCCAGCAGATAATATTCAATGTCCAGTTGGATTTGTATACAACTCCCTTATGCATGTATGTGATGATAAAAATGAGGTAATTGTTAACATCTTATGATATTTCTTCTGAATAGACCCACATTCACAAAAATTGCTTCAGTGTTTTTAAAATTTGGTGAAGATGACCAAACCTTTGTAGAGAAAAAAAAGATGTTAGTTCCACATTTTATGGAAAATATATAGTCTAGGTTGACCCTCTGATGTATTTAGATTATCATACTTCAAGTAAACTTCTCCCAAGGTCCCAAACCTTCTCTAGTATTTCATGTACCTTCTCATGTACAGGAAATGTTCTCCTGTAGGCTGGTTTGTATGGAGATTTCTAATGTAACCAATATGTTCTCTTCAGTGTGAAAATGATTTGGATGACTGCTTGGATGATGAAGTTTGTCATAATACAATTGGATCATTTATATGTGAACCAGAATTGGGATCCTCTGATGATGAATGTCCAACAGGCTATAGGGAAAGTTAGCTTTCTGTAAGAAAAACTATTGCTTTTTAGATATTTTGGCAGCAAGATGTAGATTTCTGACTTACTTCTAATTACCTCTTGTCCTTAGCTCAACTAAAAAAGAAAAAACGGGCTAATTTTTAAAATTTTTAATTAAAAAGGCAATAATTACAATGTTCACATTGCCAAAGTTCCTTTTTGGTTATTTTTAAAAATTTTTGAAAAGCTTATCCTTTTGCAGTATTTTCTGATTTCATGCATTGACATTAATGAGTGCCAAGAGGAGGAACCTTGTAAAGATGATGAAATTTGTGTAAATACTGACGGAAAGTTTCTTTGCCAGTCCCAGGACACATTCAAGGTGATATAATTCTCGTAGAATCAAAAGATCCATTTCAGTTATTTTCGATAAAATGTTTATACTTTCCTTGACTGATATGCATGGACAATTCATTTTAATTGATAAAATTAATGAGACTGTGATTATTTTCAAGTGACCTTCCATGACCACATGGCAATGCTTAATGCACAATGGTACCCTTCTAAATGTTGTCCGATCATGTACCAATTAGAATTCCACGTTTAACATTCAGAAAACTAATTTTATTCAATTGTGGTTTCTCTACTAAAGTTAAGTGCACATTTCCGCTTGAACTTATGGCGCCATGATCAGTTATTTTCGATAAAATGTTTATACTTTCCTTGACTGGCATGCAGGGACAATACATATTAATTGATACAATTAATGAGACTGTGATTATTTTTAAGTGATCTTCCATGCACACATAGCAATGCCCAATATACAATGGTACCCTTCTAAATGTTGTCCGATCATGTACCAATTAGAATTCCACGTTTAACATTCAGAAAACTGATTTTATTCAATTGTGGTTCTCTACAGAAGTTAAGTGCACATTTCTACTTGAACTTATGCCTTCAGTCCCTTGGAGCAATTAATCAAATAATTCAGGAAAATGAAAGCTGCCCCCTGGGGTTTAAGCTAAGTCAGGGAGAGTGCATAGATATTAATGAATGCCAAGCGGGAACAAATGACTGCATGGATTCTCAAAGATGTGAAAATACAATAGGATCCTTTATTTGTGTTAGGTAAATATTAGAATAAACAGTATTTTGTATTGATTTGATTTTAGCAAAATAAGTTAAATCTAGTTCTGACAAACCATTAAAGCTACATAAAACTGCTATAGCACTGTTAGAGATTGCAATAGTGCATGTCAGCTTTCTTGGATTAAGCACTTAATGGCTTTATGGTTTCAAATTTTAAGTTTCTGCTGAGGATTTATGGTTTCAAACAGTCCAAAATAAATCAACACAAAACATTTAAACTTCTGATGTTTTTTCAATGCTAGATACACTACTTGTGGAACTGGATACACCTTAAATTTCCAAACTGGAAACTGTGAAGATGATGATGAATGTGCACATGGACAGCATAACTGTGATGCACTTGGACCAGGTTACTTCTGTAGGAATATTAAGGTAAAGAAAAATAAGGACTATGAACATTGAATTAAAAGCTACTTCATGTCATAATCTTAGCTGTGAAAGTGCAACTGTTGTCTTTTTATTTTCTTTATAATGACTTTGTTTCTTGCTTTTTAGACTTTGAATGAAGTGTTAAATAAAACAATACTGTGCAAATAGATAAAATCTTTCCAGGGATCCTTTAGATGTGAAAAGAAAAGATGTAACATTGGAGAAATTCTTGATGAAAATGGTTTGTGCATGACACTCACCTGTGGAGCTGGATTTGAACCTGGACCATTTGGAAATTGTTTGGTATAATAATAAAAGAAAATGCCACACAATATCAATTTCTAAATTTCTTTTTCATTCAAGGATATAGATGAATGCACTTTCCCCAACACATGTTCAAGAGGGGAGGAATGTGTAAATACCATGGGAAGCTATGAATGTCTTTCTAACTGCGAAATCGGGTTGAAATTAAACTCTGCTCTTGGTATTTGTGAAGATATAGATGAATGTGCCCTTGGGTCTGCACAATGTTTTCATGGAGCTACATGTTTCAATACAATTGGATCCTTCCGGTGTTCTTGTGGACCTGGGTACAGGGAAGTTAATGGAGTTTGTAAAGACATTAATGAATGTCTGCTAAACGGAAGATTTCTCTGTGGAATAGACTCTGAGTGTCAAAATTCAGAAGGATCCTATCGATGCATCTGCAAGCAGGGATTTAAAAATGATGGAAGAAGGTGTAAAGGTATAACAAACTTTAAAATTACTTTAACTATCTCACTTTTCTCAAATGTAAAGTACAGAACTAAAAACAAAAAAAGCAAACTTAATGAGAAACTGACAATGTAAACTTTTTCAGATATTGATGAATGCAAAGAGATTCCAGATGTCTGTGGACACAGCTGTCAAAATTTGTATGGGTCCTACAGATGTCAATGCCAACCAGGCTATCAACTGCAATCTGATATGAGGACCTGCTCTGACATTGATGAGTGTCAAGAGAATACTGGGTACAAAACATGAAAGCTTAATATTTACATCCATAAATTAATTTTAAAAAGAAATAAAAATTTCTTTAATTAAGAAATGGGATGTGCCAAGGAGAATGTGTAAATGTGCCAGGAAGCTTTAGTTGCCAATGTCCGGCAGGATACAGGTATTAAGAAAGCAGGGCTGGGTAACCAATTAGATGAGCTCTTGTTAAAAATGTTGAAGTTTTCAAAATATAGAAGATAAAACCAACAATTTAAATGCAAACCCTGTTCTGTCTGGGACAAAATTTAGTTTTCAGGCTAATAAATTTTAATTCTATGCTACAGATTATCTTCCAATGGGCGGGAGTGTACTGATATTGATGAATGTAATGAAGGAAACCCCTGTAAAGGACAAGATCAGAACTGTCACAACACCAGAGGCGGGTGAGATTGATTTTGAACTACAAATTTTAATATTATGAATTTTAACTTGATATTGTTTGTTCAACTGTATATTTATCTTTTAACTGCTGGTGTTTTACAAAAGTGACTTCAGAATTAAGCAGCAGAGACAAGAGAAGTTAGCCATTTTTAAGAAAAACTATGAAAATTTCCTAATTGTTACTGGTATAGGTTAAAGGAGTACTAAATTGTGAAGCAGACATATCTTTAAATGGAGGGTCACTTAAACTTTTTTTCTTATTTGAGGTATAAATGCACAGATGTGAGCTGTCCTCCAGGATATAGAGTTGAGCATGGCCAGAACCATAGGTTTAAATTTTTAAAACAAACTCTCATAAAATTGTATCAGCATTTGATGAACAATATTTTAGCTTTAATTGTATTTCAATATTTCTTTAGGTGCAAAAGAGAGTCAACAAGATGTCGATCTAATGACATTGCATGTTTAAAGAAGGAAAATTAAATTGATTTAAATTAGATTTTTTGGTCATAAAAAAACTAAAGATATTTATGATTATATTCCATCAAAACATACACTGTAGATAAAGAATGGTTAAAATATTTTAGTTTTTGATTTAAAAAAAAAAAATTGAATTGTTATTAGAAAAACTGGATTTTTTCTATACAGGAATGTAGTCATCAAATTATTGAGAAATGTGGGAAAAATATATATTTTTGAATTGTAAGGACTCTGGGTTTTTAAATATTTGAATTTTATATTACCATTCTATATTTACAGTGAATGTGACCCTGCGGTTCTCTTTTTTAGTGCTTAAAATAGATTCTGAGTCTGGAACTTCTGCCAAATAAACAGCAACTAATCTGAATGTTCAAAATTAAAATTGTATTGCTTCTGTCTCATATTTTCTTTCTATTTTATTGAGATATCCAGAAGGACTTGCTTAACTTAATCCTTTGGACTACAAAGTAAAATACTTCACTTAGCCAATTGATAATACATAAGTTTTGACCCCGATTGAATGCTCAATAAGTTTTGCAAAAATTTTTTTAAGGTACTTCTTATTGTCTCACCTTTATCTTTTTTTAAAAAGTTAACTTTACTTATACTGGTTTAATTTTCTGACCAGCCAATGTCGATCAGATAATATGTTGGACACAATTAGCTTTCTCCTGGATCCCATTCACAAATACTTGTCACAGCCTAAATATCTTATCTACAGACTAACCATTTAAGCGCGTTCTAGCAGTTCGGAAAGCCAAAAGCCAAAGCGTAAGCTTTTATTGTATAAAGGGTCCTTGAAGGTTTTGATAGTTGTAATCTTCATTTCAGCAAATAAATTAGTATCTTTTCCTAGCACCTCTTTGGAGGAAATGTTTTCCAAATCTTTGCCCCTTTTCAAAACTTGCTTTTCAACTTTGATTTCAGCACCATTGCAGATGTCAAACTCATCCTAAATAATCAAATGCGAATTTAACTTGAGAAACTTTTAATTGTGTCGGCTGTTTGTGAGGTTTTTAAGGATTTCTCTGCTCTGACATTTCATCATTCTGACATCACTATCCATTACACTTTTTCCCTTTTAGTTCACTTGAAGACTATTGCCTTGTCCATATTATTATCCTCTAATGCATTTTTGATCATTTCAATATATAGAAAGTTTTAGGCACACATTTTTTTTGGTGTATCCTCTAATGCATTTTAGATCATGTCAAAGGCGTCTACTTTTCATAAAGAAAGTATAAGGCACAAACTGTTTTGTGAATCGGGCATCCCAAGTGTCCTATTTTCTAGTTCGTATTTAATACATTCCCATGCTGTGACAAAGGAGTTAAAAAACCTACAGAAATAAGCGGATTACATAGAAATAAAAAGTTTAATGAATAAAGTTAAAGAGAAGAAGACAACCGGGATTAATACAATAAGCTCTAAAAAAAAATTACAGGTCTGCGACTTTAAGAAGTACCAAAATTTTTTTTTGCTAAACTTATTGAACATACCTCGTAATATGGAGACAATTTAATTTTTCCAGCCAGTTTCAGTATCTTTTAACTTCATATCTCTGATAGCGGACTTACAGGTCTATAATCAATTGGTTTCTCAAGGCATTTGAAATAATTATAATAATAATAATAATAATAATAACAATATTATCTACAAGTTTATTCTCTTAAAACTTTTTTTTATAAAACATTAGTAGATTTTTTTCCAATATTATTTTTTATAAATTTACAATTTAAAAAAAAATTGAATAGTAATACTTTAAAATTTTCATATCCTAATTTTTAACTAAAAATATTTATATATACAAACAATATGCAATGTACTTCTCATGTATTATTAATAACCTAATTAACTAGATTGCACAGGGTGGAACTGATCTATTCACAATGCAAAGCGCTTCGGTATGTAAATCCTCCTTTGCTGTACACTTTCTTTCACAAACAATCCTTTCCTTTACACTTCCTTTCATGAACACATCCTTTCACATACACTTTCTTTCATGAACACATCCTTTCCTATACACTTCTATTCATGACCACTTCCTTTCATGAACACACCCTTTCATGAACAAACCCTTTCCTGTACACTTTCTTTCATGAACACATCCTTTCCTATACACTTTCTTAACACTTCCTTTCCTATACACTTCCTCTCATGAAAAAATCCTTTCACAAACACATCCTTTCCTGTACACTTCCTTTCATGAACACTTCCTCTCATCAACACATCCTTTCCTGTACACTTCCTTTCATGAACACATTCTTTCATGTACACTTCCTTTCATGAACACTTCCTTTCCTGAACACTTCCTTTCCTGAACACTTCCTTTCCTGAACACATCCATTCATGAACAAATCCTTTCCTGTATACTACCTTTCATGAACACATACTTTCCTGTTCACTTCCTTTCATGACCACATCCCTTCCTGTCCACTTCCTTTCATTAACACATCCTTTCCTGTAAACTTCCCTTCATAAACACATCCTTTCCTGTAAACTTCCTTTCATAAACACATCCTTTCCTGTAAACTTCCTTTCATGGACATATCCTTTCCTATACACTTGCTTTTAAGAAGACATCCTTTCCTATATACTTCCTTTCATGAACACATCCTTTCCTGTCCACTTTCTTTCCTGAACACATCCATTTCCTGTATACTTCCTTTTAGGAACACATCCTTTCCTTTACACTTCCTTTCATGAACACATTTTTTCCACTTCCTTTCATGAACACATCCTTTCATGTACACTTCCTTTCATGAACACATCCTTTGTTGTAGACAGCATTTTCTGCAGACAACATTTCCTGTACACAATGCATCTACTCGTGTACACAATCTTTCCTGTATATGACATTTCCTGTTCACAACAGTTCCTGTACACAACATTTCCTGTACACAATATGCCCTGTCAGCTGTTTTGTCTGCATATGCAAACAGGAATTCAAAGCAGTTAAATACTCATTGGTAGAATCAGGGCCAATCAGAAGCAAACCTAAGACTTGGTCTTAACAAAACCTTGATTTTATATTATGTTGGGTCGGGCTTTAATTATAAAAGCTCAGCTGAAAATTTTAAGTTTGCAATTATGCTTTAGTTAAACAATTATTTTGATTTTTCAGAAAAATATCTTCTCTTTAAATATGTTAACCAACAAATTTAGAAAAAAAAAATTTTTCAACTTTATTTTTAAGGAGAGCTTGACATGAACACAACTTCATTAAATTCCTATCAAAATGTCATTTTATGATTTTGATACTTGAGATAACTTTTTTCCTAAATTACCTTCGAAAATGTCAGAAAAAAATGAAAAAGAGATTTCAAATAAAATGGTCATATTTGTCACTGGAAATAATATTTTAACAGTTATTTTTCAGTACGACTACATAACTGCTAAGTTCACATTAACCTTTATACGGTCCATAGCAGCTGCTGGGGTACAACAAGCTTCAAGGTATACTTTATACGGTCCATAGCAGCTGCTGGGGTATAACAAGCTTCACGGTATACTTTATACGGTCCATAGCAGCTGCTGGGGTACAACAAGCTCCAAGGTATACTTTATTAAACAATGTTTTTTCTTCTAGTAAATAAGCTGAAAATTTCAAGAATTAAACAAAAAAATCTTTTACAGAAAATTTTTCCCCTGACTTTTTTTTAAAACAGCCTTCAAGGGTGGCACGACTGAGATACCACAAAGATATGGCCCCAGTCGGTTCAGATGTTTTCATGCTGACGTGCAACCCAACCAAAAAACATAAATATATCTATCTATATAATAAATATCTTTTCTCGTATATATACACGGTGTCCCAATAAACATGGTAATTAAATGATGACTTCTATAATGTCTTTGGTCAAAGCGACATCATTGCATTAACACAATTTTGGTAGTATCTCAGTTAAAACATTTTAGTCTTGGGATTTCCAAATTGTAGTACACCATTATTGCACCTAAGAAATTGATAAACTATTTGATCAATTTGTCTAGATTCCAATTTATTACATAACAATAAAGTATATCTGTACATTTTTAAGATGCAAAGACGGATAACCACTTTTTGGAAAGCTTATACAACTTAAAAACTTTTTTTTGATAAACTCATTGTCATTAATTATTGGATATTGAAGACGAATTTTCAATCATCTCTAAATGTTTATTGGGACACCCTGTATATAATTATCTGTTAGCTATAGCAGGCCAAACGGCCGGACCAAATTGGCTGAAATTTGAATAGGGAAGCCGTGGGTATCCTAGGGGTGACATTGACTAAAAAATCGATTTTTTAAAGCTCAAAATATTTTCTCTACATTTCAGCTAGTAATCTATGTTTATAAAGGAATAATCTTTTTATTTGTGTTAGTTTTTCTTTCCGTTAATTTAAAGATGGCCAGATGGAAGGGGGTTAAAAAAGTTTTTTTTTTACCTTTAATTCATATTTTTCTCAACTTTCCCCAAAGTCATATTTTTCCAATGCCAATTTTTTTTTAAGATCGAGAAATTAACAATTTTTGAAAAAGTTTGTACTTCTGCTTCCACAAAATAGATTTTAACATTTTGTAAAAAATACATCTTGCTTCAACGTTTATACTTTCTAGATATTCTTTGGTGTAACTTTACGTGTATTGATAGCAGTTTTATTTACAATTTAAGAAACTCTGGTCCCTAATTCTTTGACAATCAATAATCACATAAAGGGAATGACAAAGCCAATGGTCCCATATCAAATTCTTAAGTACAAACTTATCAAAAATTCATCCCATGAGTTAAAACTAAATAATGCTGAAGCATGATAAATATTTTGTAGACAAGTTCTCACAAATAACGATCTTAAACTATATAATCATATCGATTCAAAAGATGACGGTCCTTTTCCTTCAAAATATCTTGTACATGGATTATTAGGTGACCATCCATTAAATAATCAATAATATGGAAGATATAGTTTTCTAGCGTGGATTTAGTGTTAAATGCTGTTATTATAGTGAGAATTTTGCCAATTACTTATTAAAACCAGAAGATGAAAAAACAAGGGCTTTATGATTATAAAATGTACATGTCGGGGAGGGGGGGGGGGCTATAAGGGCCAATTCATTGCGACTCTTCAAAGTTAATTCAGTCTGGAAAGTTGATAAAACGGTCTGGATCTATGTGAATTTTGCAGTCCAAAAACCCAAAGAAATTACATAAATAAACGAATAATGAAACTAAACTGGTATAAATGCAAACCTAGTGCAGTATTGCATAACTACAGTTACAAAAGGAACTCATTTGATAATACTCACCCAGGAGCTGAACGGTAATAAATAAGCTGAAAATAGCAATATTTGACAGGGGTTTCTAGTGTTGACGCAAAGATCGGATATTTTATTTTAAGCCACAAATTTATTTATATTATACATTCCTAAAAAGGACACAGCATTTCTTCTGGAAGTTCCGGGGGTTAAGACACGTCTATGTCTAGAGACATTATGATTAAATTTCCTTAATATCTGGTAATAATTAAGCCTGTCAGAGAAAAATTTGTGAAGTGTTTGTTTTTTCAACACCCTTTCTAGCATTAATATGAAAAAAATTTTAGATCTTCGTTCTATATAAAAACTGGTGTTCATCAGGGAACCCTTTCTTTAGCTGAAACTATTCCAGGCCCTCAGGTTTACTTTTATTCAGATCTTATCAACCTAAACTAAAGATATCTCAGGTTTAATTTTATTCAGATCTTATCATTCTAAACTAAAGATATCTCAGGTTTAGTTTTATTCAGATCTTATTAATCTTTACTAAAGATATCTCAGGTTTACTTTTATTCAGATCTTATCAATCTATACTTAAGATATATAAGGTTTACTTTTATTCAGATCTTATAAATCTTAACTAAAGATATCTCAGGTTTACTTTTATTCAGATCTTATTAATCTAAACTAAGGATATCTCAGGTTTATTTTTATTCAGATCTTATCAATCTAAACTAAATATATCTTTGTTCACACCTTATCAATGGAAAGAAACTAAACACATGCCTCAAACTTTAGTTTACTTATCCATCTTTGCAACTTTATGTCGTGGAAATTTTTTATCTTACTTGTGAATTCTTCAAATTTTAAAATCTCAAAGGTTTAGATTATTTGGTAAGTTGCAAAGATAAAGAAGTTGAAAAACATTAAAGATGAACTAGTCATCATTTTTTAAAATTAATTTATGAACAATAGATTCCAAGAAAATGAGACTTTTTCGTTTGAAGACCAAAGCAATATCTGTAAATATCCTTTTTTTATATCATAAAATAATGTTTTTTTTTAGGAAATTGAACTGGAGCTAATGATGGAGATGTATTATAAGTAATCTTTTTATTAGTTTTATATTTCTATTAGTTTGAAGAGATTTTTCAAAGCTCTGTACGATTCCATTAAAGTTTGATAGAATTATGTTAAAGTTTTGAGAAAATCTTTCTTTATGAGATTATATCAAAGTTATGGGAGATTCGGTTATAAGAGATTTTTCAAAGCTCTGTACGATTCCATTAAAGTTTGATGGAATTATGTTAAAGTTTTGAGAAAATCTTTCTTTATGAGATTATATCAAAGTTATGGGAGATTCGGTTGTAAGAGATTTTACAAAGCTTTGTACGATTCCATTAAAGTTTGATGGAATTATGTTAAAGTTTTGAGAAAATCTTTCTTTATGAGATTATATCAAACTTATGGGAGATTCGGTTGTAAGAGATTTTTCAAAGCTTTGTACGATTCCATTAAAGTTTGATGGAATTATGTTAAAGTTTTAAGAAATTCATTCTTTATTAGATTATATAAAAGTTATGGGAGATTAAAAAAAGTTTTTTTTAAGTTCTCTCGAAACTTTTATCGGACTTTTGCGAGATTTGATGAAAGTTTGTGAGATTCCATCAAAGTAATAAGATATGATCAAAGCTGAAGATCTTTAAATTGTATCTAAGAAGGATTGACACATTAGAATTTCATCTAAAGGTTTAAATGTATATTCTAGAGGACGATTTGCGGGATCTGCGCTCGCACGAGTCTTTATCTTTGTGGGACGATATCGGTATTGAGACGACACAAGATAATGGTTGAAATAACATTTCGTCATTCTTCACTGAAGGGATTGTCCTTGAAATTTCAAGCTACCCTCCATTTCCAGAGAAGCATGCCTGATTCACAATTGTATCCAGTAAAACTTTATCTGATCAAAAATGTGGGAGAAATTTTCGTTTTTATTACTTTGAATTTCTAACATTTTCCTCCAATGTGTCCTCATAAGAAATCAGGAAATTTGTTTTAAACAGAAAGTATTCAACTAACAAAGAGAAAAACATTAAAATCCCATTCAATCTTGATCAGACAACTTGTATAAGGGTACCGTTGTAAATCAAACATGACAATCTTTACATTTTGGCACTTGTAATTATGCTAACAGACCCTTCAATAATATTTCATAAATAAACAATTTTTATTATAATTTTGTTTTATTTTCTAAAGGAAAACAACCTATTCATTCTTTTATATTTTACTGCTTATTGAAAGGTCTCTTCACTGCCCAGTATATGTTGTACTGTGAGAGTGGTTGAAATAAAGTAATGTTAGCCTTCCATTTGTATCCAATAAACGTCAATACATCTGAACCAATCGGGCCCAATTTTTTCAAGAGACCTCACATGATCCCAAGGAAGGGTTATAGATGCTACAAATTACAAAAGTTTGTGACCAAAAGTTTTTGATATTTATTTAATTTTGAAAATGCGCGAAAAAATATTATTATGCCTGGAATTTTTTTTATAGTTATTATTCCATATTGTACATAGAGATGCTCACAGATAAGGCTGCACAATTAAAAATTAAAATATAAGCTTAGTTAACCAATATTTCAAAAGTAAAAATCATTTTTTATAAGATTGTTTGTCCATCTCGTAAAACGCCGAATCATGACAGTGGTTGAAAATAAAACTGGTAAATTGTATACGAAATGTGCATTTAAGTCGTATCCTATTCACAAGATATTAAACTTTAATGTCTGGGTATGATTCGACTTTTATGTATAGTTAAATATAAAAACATTAACGTGACTTAACTAGAAATGAATCAACTTCGCCTGCGCCAACAGCCGACATAATTTTAGGTGAAAATTATTACATCCAAGCTACCATAATTTTCCTTCTAAAAATCGATAATTGTTACTTTTTTTTAACTTGACATCAGGATTTATGTCTCTGGAACAAAGGGTGTTATCTTCCTATTTGTGTATCGTTTGAGAAGGGTTACTTAAAAATCACGTCTTGAAAACCTCTCAATATAAACCGTGGAGTTTGTGTGTTTGACCGGGATTGACTCCACGAGATACACATCTAGTCTCTTGACATTTAACATGGATACGTTCTTGGAGTTATACTCTATGTAAATAAGGAATGAGTTTAGAAGGTACACGTTAGATGTTTTCTTTAATACAATTATCTGCAATATCTTAATCAATACCACCTATTCACTGTAGTGTGCTATCAAGGGCGGGGCCCCCTCTACTCACAAGGGCGGGGACTGCCACCCCCGTAATTATAAAATAGTTTATGACCTAATATCTTCATAAGTTCTGAAAAATTTGCTTTTTTTGCATTTAGCATATTTTCATTTGTATAAATTTTTGTATTTTTAATAAATTAATTAATAATCTAATTTTTAACGTAAACAAATTGTAATATCTTAGTTCAATAATGGACAATGACAAGTATCAAACTGATATCTTTTTGGAGGAGTTTTTAACACAGCAGATTCAAAATATGTTGTCTAACGCCAGTAAAAATAATTTATCATTACAAAAGCTAATCAAATTTATTGCTTCATAATACTAATACTAATAAAACTAATAACAAGTCGCAAGGGAAGCTGCAAAACATATTTTCGCCAAGCTAAAAAAATCTAAAAAATAAATCATAAGTTTCACGTTTGTTAACAAAACCTAAAAATGTTGGAGTCCAAGAGAATAAATAAATAAATAAAATGGTCAACCATCATCCCATGGGAGTCAGGGTTAAGCTCTCATCAAACCGTACCACCATATTGGTTGGCAGGGCGTCACTGGTCCATGTTTCAATGAAACAAAGTGTGGAGGGCCAGGCAAGAGTCAAGTTAAAAGGCGGGCTACCTTAAAACCGTTAGCCAATAAAATATGTAATAACCTTAAGAAATGGCATATAGCACCAAGTATTGTTAAACATCATTGATCTATTCATGTCAATTAGAATATGGTGAAATATAAATATATTTCTTAAAGTCATGTCTACAATTTGCGTCTCCAAAAACTTTAATATTATTAGCAGACACCTAAATTTGTTCTTCTTTGGAATATATTAATATACAGTCTCCTGAGTTATCTATATGATAAAACAAGACATTCGTATATATTATATGTTGCCTATAGCCGGCCACACGGCTAAACCGATTAGGCTGAAATTTTTTGTGGACACTCATGGGTGGCCAGGGGTGTTAAAGGCTGAAAAATCGAAATTTTTTTTCCACGGTTCAGCTAGTAATATTTTTCTCAGAAAATGCCACCTAAGAAATTTTAAGTAATCCATTTAAAGGAAAATTTTCAGGTCTAAGCTCAACGTAACTGTAGTTTCAGGGATTAATCAAGCTTATTTTGTGATTTTTTGAGATATTTTTAGTAACGTAAATAGCAGGGTTCAAATTTTGTGATTTTTAAAGATATTTTTAGCACCGTAAATAGCAGGGTTCAAATTTTGTGATTTTTTGAGATATTTTTAGCACCGTAAATAGCAGGGTTCAAATTTTATGATTTTTAAAGATATTTTTAGTACCGTAAATAGCAGGGTTCAAATTTTGTGATTTTTAAAGATATTTTTAGAACCGTAAATAGCAGGGTTCAAATTTTGTGGTCTTTAAAGATATTTTTAGAACCGTAAATAGCAGGGTTCAAATTTTGTGATCATATGACATGTTATAGCAAAAAATCAAAGCCTTGAGTTAACTGTATAATTGTCAAACTAATGCCTAAAAAGATCTTGTATTTTGATAGTCAGGCAGTTGACTTAGGGGTTTGATTTTCAGATACAATATGTTTCATGACTGTTAAAGAAAATATAATATAAAGTTTGGAGACCATGCCATATACTGTTAAAAAAATATTGTCAAAAACCCAGAAGAAGCAGATTAAAGTCTTGAAACGAAATTTTCGTTTAATTTTAGACCTGTGAACATGCACATGATTTCTACAATTTCTTAAAAATTGATTTGCTTAAAATTCCCTTGGTGGCATTTGATGAAAATTAAGATTGTAAATCAGTAGACTGCATATAAATATATTCCAAAAATAAAGTTGAGGTGTTTGGACTTGAAACCTAATGGTCTCTTTTCAGCAGGGTGTGCCACCGAACAAATATTTTTATATTTTAGTTTTTAAAAACTTTTTATTTTGCATTGTTTATTCTGTTAAAATGACTTGATCAATTGTGCTGCAAAGACAATTTAAAAAGTTCAATACTTTTAAGCGGGTTCCGTTGTGAATTGTACCACTCTTTAAATGAAAGGTCACTTAAAAACACGTTTTCAGCCTCTTGAAATTAATTTCCTTACAGACTTTAAAAAGAAAACCTATCCACAGTGCAGTGCTTAGGATCCATTTTATTTTGATGCGGATCCGGATCCTAGATTATGGATCCGCACTAGAAAAAATGGATCCGGATCCGGATCCAGGTAGTTTCTTGACTTACTGATATTTTTTACAAAACATAATTTTAAAATTTTTATTTCATTTTTTCGCTTATTTGTATCCTAAAACTTGATGAACCATTCAGAAATGAGGATATTTTTATAATCTCTCTTTTTACAAAAGTTCAGATTCGGGTTTTAGGAGTAAAAAAAGTTTTTATTGCAGTTTTTGGCTGATATTTTACCACTTGGACAGGATCCGTGGATCCGCATATTTTTGCGGATACGGATCCAGAAAGCCAAAATCTTGCAGATCCAACGAATCCGGATCCTAAGCACTACCGCAGTGTATCTTAAAGGGATTCATATATCAGCAAATACACGTTTATTTATTGATTCATAGTAAACGTTCTTCCTAACTTTTTGAGATTAAAAGTTTTAAATTTACCAAAATTCGTAAACAGACCTTTCAGGTAAATATCTTCTTAGTTATTTATTAAAGCATTAAATAACATAATTTCCACAGAATATTTTTTCCCTTAAGGTTAAAATGAAATTAAAATGTTTATCACGAAGATGTTTCATTTTCATGTTCTGATAAAATAATAATTTAATTTCTTTTGGTTTTTGAGATTCAAGTAGGAATATATTTAATATGCATGTGAGTTAAAATAGGTCAACGAAAAAATGCAAGGTTAAAGATTTAAGTTTGTAAATACTGAGTATGTGATTAAAGCACTTTTTTAATCTAGTATAGTAACATTTCCTAGCTGGATATAGAATACCTGATGTATAAATACAATAAATACATAGTGGAGAAACACAGGATACAGCACCAATTATACATGACGTCACAAGTGCCAAATACAACAAGGAAGACAACATTTTCTCCCATTAGCTGACATGTTTTCCAAGATAAGAAAGGGTAAAAACGAACACAAAACTGCACTTTATTCATTGTAAGAAAAGCACTTAATTATCACTAATTTTAATAATTTTGTCGGACACATAAAACTGTTGACACTTGTGACGTAAGAATACAGCTTTACTGAGAGTGAACTGATTCTACGTTGCCATCTATTGTACTTGATAATCTATTTAGGATAAGTGATACTTCATAGATATAGGGTAATAATACTACATGGTCATAGCTGGAGTGGATACAAAGTAGAATGAGAATATGGGATAATTTGTATAAATAGAATTTATGTGATACAAAATACAAAGATGTTTTATGATACAGATAGTTAAGAATTAGATAGTAATACACAGTAGCGATCAGAGAAAGATAGTTAATAAGTAAGATCAGTACTGTAGGTTCTTGATCCGTTCTATTTTCCATGATCTTTAATTATGTTCATGATCCACTCTAGACTTCATAATCTTTTAGTTGATCTTGATCCGTTCTTTAATTCACGACTTTTTAGTTTATCAAGTTCTTGATCTTTCTTAGACGTAATGATTCTTAAGGTGTTCTGTTCTTTGTCCGTTTAAGTCTTTTATGTTCTCTTAGTTGAACATGTTTTTGATCCATTCATCCATCCAAGATCCGTGATATTTTAGTTGTTACGGATATGTTCTAAACGTCAGGCTCTTTTCAAGCAGAGAATTTTGTTGATTTGTTCTATTCTACATTATTAGTAATAGAACAGGTTCTTGCTCAACGGTCTTCATGATCTTCAGGCATTTTTCTTTGCATCTTGTCTTCAATATTTCAGGCTTTCTTCTTGATATTAATGATGTACATTTTCGTTATCTTCAGATGATCAGATAAAAGTGCTAAGGGGGGGGGGGGGTTTGATTTCTTTTTCTTTTGATTAACAAGGTAGATTAGATTTATCTTTTCAAAAAGCTAGATTAAGATTCCGCCTCTTTTTTAATAGCAACTAAGTCATATTCTAACTAAAAACTTTGGCTTCAAAATTTTCCAATTACATGTTTAATGTCTCAGAGATTATCTGGGTTATTTCAGTCTTCACCGGTTTTTAAGACTAGAAAATATTTTGATTGAATTTCCAGAGTCTTGTTGAGCAGTATTGGATTTTAAGGATTATGTTGAGTTGCATTAGATTTCCATGAGTATGTTGAGTTGCGTTGGATTTCCATTAGTATGTTGAGTTGCGTTGGATTTCCAGGACTACGCTGAGTTGATTGGATTTCCAGGACTATGTTGAGTTGCGTTAGATTTCCAGGACTACTCTGAGTTGATTGGATTTCTAGGACTATGTTTAGTAGAATGGAGTTCCAGGATTATGTTGAGTTGGGTTGAATTTCCAGTAAATGGATTCCCAGGTTTATGTTTAATCGATTGGATTTCCACGTTGTATTGAATTTCAAAAAATGTTTTTGAGCAATGTTTTTCAGGTTTCATGAGTTAGTTTTACACTGATGGCCATCATAACAGGATTTAACTGGTTTCCCGTGTTTTCCTTTAACCGCCATCCCTAGCCCAGACTCCAGATAAAATTAAACTCTAATTTTATCAAAAGGTCTCTTTGAAAAAAAATTAATCATTCTTTTGTAGTGTTTGCAGTGTTAAGATTTTTTTTTTTTTGGGGGGGGGGGGAATCAATGTTTTACAATGTAAGAAGGGTAAAAAGTGTTCATGCTTTTGTCCTTTTCTAATTTCACTTCCCCATCCTCCCAACCCTTCCGGACAAGTAACTTGAAAATTTGAAAGAACGTAGTTTTCATATACTTTAATTGTAAAAAACATGCTAAAAAGGAATCTATCCTGACAAGACGCCCCCCCCCCCCACTTTTTGCAGTTTCTTTAAGTTACAAAGTATCAAATGTAATGTAATGGACAATTTATTACGTATAAAATTTGGTTTTTAATTTTGTATTAAATGAAATCAAATAAAAACTAAAAATCTGGTAGTTTCCTGAGTAGTGAAGGAAGCTGAGCAATGAATCTAAATTTGTTTTTTCTTCTGTAGTTTTTAAGTAGAGAATAGAAGCACTCTCTTTCTTCGTCTAAAATTGAAGAGGAAATTATTTTGAATCATTATCATCCTAATCTTTAATTATCAATGTTACTATCATCATTATAGTCATTATTATTACTATTATTATTATTAATTCTATGACCTATGTATTGTATTTTCATATATTTATAAGCATATAAATGTTTTTTTGTCGTTCTTAAATGTGTTTGGAGAAGTTAATATTTTTGGATCTCAACCTTTAATATTAACCGAAAACAAATATTTTCAAAGAGAAAAAAAGCAGTCCGAATTTTTAGGGCGGTAAATTTAAAAAATAATCGAATGGGAGGGGTAATTCTCAAAAGAAAATTTATTCCTGCATTTGAAACAAAAACAAAAATGCATTGCCTAACAATATCGATAAAACCTAAATAACAAGCACTTATGTCGGACAATGAGACTTTAAAGGAACTGTAAGTGTAATTTCAAGTGATCGATGCTCGATTTACAACGGTACTTCTAAACTCTTTGTTTGCAAGTATAAAATAGATATGCATGTTTTTTTATTCGAACTGTTAATTCTAATTTGTGGTTTCTCTTCAAAAGTAACTTGCGCAATGCGCATTTCTTGCTTTCCAGAATCAATCGAGAAATGTACAGAAATTAACAATTTTTTAGTCATACAATAAGATATTAACTTCCACATTTTTCATCAGACGAAGGTTTCAAGGGTTTACGCTTAGATTCCCTTTAAAGATGGCTCAGAAGAAAAATGAGGAGAATACGGTTCGGATGGAGAAATGATGCGGCACCTCCCCTTGCCTAAGATTATCTTGGATCCATCTCTCTTTGTTTTTCTAGACACCCTTCATAACAATTCTTTGGCAATTTAACGTGACAATACTTTTCCAGGTCAGGTTAGTTTAAGAAAGATAGATGGAAGGTGCCGCAAAGTTGCCACAAAAATTATGATCGGGGGAGGGGGGGGTGTCACGGCCATACCTGCGTATGCCAGACTAGCACCAAAGAGCAGTTATCAGCCAAGGGTTCTATCTCAGTAAGACGAGGTTTTAAGCTCCTGCAGTCATAAACCATAATATTTAAATATCATTTTCATAGATATTCAGATATATCATTAAATATGTTTAAATATTGTGAAGATTTGCTTCAAAAATACTAAAAAGCATAATCTCTAAGTTCCCCTTCAAAAATACTAAAAAGCATATTCTCTAAGTTCCCCTTCAAAAATACTAAAAAGCATAATCTCTAAGTTCCCCATCAAAAATACTAAAAAGCATATTCTCTAAGTTCCCCTTCAAAAATACTAAAAAGGATAATCTCTAAGTTCCCCTTCAAAAATACTAAAAAGCATAATCTCTAAGTTCCCCTTCAAAAATACTATAAAGGATATTCTCCAAGTTTCCCTTCAAAAATACTATAAAGGATATTCTCCAAGTTCCCCTTCAAAAATACTAAAAAGGATATTCTCTAAGTTTCCCTTCAAAAATACTATAAAGGATATTCTCCAAGTTCCCCTTCAAAAATACTAAAAAGGATATTCTTTAAGTTTCCCTTCAAAAATACTAAAAAGGATACTAATTAAGTTTCTCTTCAAAAATACAAAAAGAATGGATAGTTGAACAAAGTTTCCCTTCAAAATTAGTAAAAAGAATACTCACTAAGTTTCCCTTCAAAAATACAAAAGAAAGGATACTTAAAAAGTTTACCTTTAAAAATACAAAAAGAATGCTTTCCAAGTTCCTTTAAAAAAAATACCAGAAAAGATACTCTTTAGGTTTCCCTTTAAAATTACTAAAAAAATAAACTAAAAATTTTTGTTGGTATTATGTTTTATAGATGATGCCTTATAAAATAATCTTCTTCGTAACCAGCTTTGTAGGGCATTGATAAATCAGCTCTGGGGTTCCTGGATCTGAAAATAAAATTCAATAAAAATAAAAATATATTTCCTCTTATGCGAATTTTAACTTAAAGAAATTGTCGGCGTCAATTTAAGTGAATCGGTAATTCGCAACGATTCCCTTTAAATCTGAATTTTGCCGGAAAACTTGCCTTTCCTATTTGGGTCTAGATATACGTACAATGTCTAGATTTTTTAGCAATTGTAAATTAGTGGACTTTTGTAAAAAAAATCATTGACATGATAGGTCGATAATTAAATCTTACAATAGCTGATACCTTTTTAGAACCCCCCCCCCCACCCCCGGGCACCCGCTTTCTATAAGTAGGTGGAGACCACCCAGTCTATCATGCTTAAAACAGCCTACAGATTTCACACTTTCATATGATCAAGAAGGGTGAAAAAAATCGTCGTTTACTAGCTTAAAAAGTGTTTAATTAGCACAATTTCCTCCATTGTTTCCATAAGTCAGTTATATTGACATTAATGCAAAACCCTGCGATTGAAAATATATAATATTTTAAAAGAGAAATCATAGATGTCTCATATATTCTTGATCATACAAAGCTTGCAGGAATATTTGCATTATATTTTATAATTATTATTGTTATTATCATTATTAATATTACCTGATGAAATCAATATTTACAGCAAAGCCCGCCATATCAACTGGAAATTTACGCTGCGCAAACCAATCGTCCGAGAACCCAACTACAACACCGTCCAGGACTATTGGACTACTCACTCCCTAGAAATATACGGATAATTTTCAAACACGTGGTTAATTATTTCGTGAATTATCGTCTTTTGAGATGAAAATGCGCGCATTTTTAACGAAATTTTCGCAAAACGGATGTCATTTTATTTACTTGTTCCAAAGGCCAGTTCAGTTACTTAATATTAAGTTAATGATGGGTCGGTAATGTAGTTTTAATTACTGAAAATTGATCATTTTCATCTGGGATTTCTCTGTAAAAATGTTTTGTAGATTTATGCAGCACAAACGAAGAAGGAAATTGTTATAATTAATAATTTAAAATATATAAAACGAAATTCTTCTGAATACTTGTTTTCGTTTGACAAATTAGTTTCAATTTGCCACGTAGATCCGGTGCCACGTAGATCCGGTGCTGAGCATCGGATCAGTTCATCTCACCCAAGTGTTAAACCTTTAGGGCAAAAAGGGTCAAATCTGAACCCCCCCCCCCCTTAACCCCCTCAACATGGGAACTGGAGAGCCTAGACCATTAAACAATTAAAGACCAATGTTAGACATAAAAGCATGAAGAATGTTTCTTTTTATGTCTAACATTGGTTTTAACTGAATGATTGTTTAACATAAAAAAGTTCAAAAATATATTTTTAAAGGTGGAAAATACAAAAAGATTATTTCCCTTTAAATATCGTATTATTATCGTAATTATCATACAGTCAATATTTTGTCAAGACAGTATAATTAATAGTGCTTTTTTGAACATTATTCAGTGTCAAAACTGCTTTTAGTGTTTAAAATTGTGTTAAAATGGTTGAAACACTAGAAGAAGAAGATGAATTGATGCACGACACCGGCAGCCGAGAATTCGAATGTGCAACAGTGTACAGTGTGAACTCTAAACGAATGACCTCACTTATTTGCTATTACTAGAACTGATAAAATTCTGAATAGTTTTGTTTATTTAGTTTAACGCAGTTTTAAAAATTCCAGTAAATAATAATATTTTTAAAATAAAAAATTCTTGCGCACAAAGTTTTCACTTAATGATAACAAGCGTCAGCCATCCGTAATCCTTGATCAGACAAAGGTTTAAATGACACTGTAGTGAATTGAACATGAACCTCGACAAATGAAGGATCTCTTGAAATTACGTCTACAGTCCCTTTAATAAAACTAACCTGGCCTCCAATGAATCCGACTGGAAACATGGAAATCTTCCTGGTTCGACTGATCTCCTTAAAGAGCCGAATATCGTAGGTGTTGTCGTCGTCGGCGAAGTAGATGATTCCCTCGTTGAAGTTACTGAGAACCCAGCTGAGTCCTGCTCTGCGGCTAGACACTCCACGCGGGTTGAACTTACTTTCCTAATATCAGATGACATTTTATTTTTAAATCTCAAAACATTTTTTGTTTACGATATTGACAAATTTTTCTCCATTATATAATAAATTTAAGTCTTCGTTTTGTTTCTTATTAATTTTTTTCTTAGGGGTATTTTTTTCCAAAAAAGTTATGTGAAAGTTTTAGAATAGCGTAAATTTGTAGCAAAAAATCTCATTTTCACTGAAAAAAACGAGGTGGATAGAATTTTTAAGAAAACCGATTTTTGTAGAATTTTACTCAAAATATTATGGTTTTCCTCCAAGATTCTTTTAATTTATGGATGGGGCGGGCGGAAGGGGTTGATATTAAAATATAAAAAAATAATATAATTAAAAAATAATCTGATTCCTTGTAAACATCAGGTTGTGGTGAGGCTATGTGAGTGAAGGGTATACCCAGCCTAGCGAGGAGGTCAGCGACCAGGGGGGAGCAGGTCAGGGAGTCTTCAGCTACGATCCAGTGCAGATCATCAGCTGAAAACAGGGGAATAATTAATTTGTATTGCATCCTAAAACCATGCAACAGCTGAACAAATTAGGTCCTGAGAATTATTAACTGACGAGGTCTCGTATGACAAAAATTCTTATTAAAAGTTTAGAAAGCCAGCAATAAAAACAAGAAAATCTTAACTGTACTGTCCGTAGAAAGAAAAAGGTTTTAGTTTATTTTTAAAAAAATAATACTTTTACCCCAAGGGAAG